GCAGAGGGAGAAGCAGGCTTCCCGCCGAGCAGGGAGCCCAATGTGGGGCTTGATCCTAGGACCCCGGGATCATGACCTGAGCTGACGGCAGCCACTCAAACGATTAAGCCACACAGGTGCCCCTTCCCCTTTAATTTAATCACTTTTTAAAAAAGATTTTATTTATTTGAAAGAGAGAGAGCACGAGCATGGGGGCAGGAGCAGAGGGAGAGGGACAAGCTGACTCCACACCGAGCATGGAGCCCGATGCAGGGCTTGATCCCAAGACCCCGATATCATGACCCGAGCCTAAATCAAAAGTTAGATACCTAACAGACTGAGCCACCCAGGTGCCCCCACTTGAGCTTCTTATTCCTCTACTCTCTCCTTACTCTAGAGGTTAGAATTTATCCCTTCATGCATCCCTTTGGCACTCTACTGGGTAATGGGATAACAAGCAGAAGCCTCCAGCAATCTCCAGGGGAGTCCTGTTACTTTCTCCTGTAAATTGGGGACAAGGAGCAGATCTTGGTTTTCCTCACACTTTGACAGGAACTGGAGAACGTGAGGATTTGGGTCTGATATCCTCTCAACTGAACCAATTCAGACCAGTGCCGGAGTGCGTGCGTGTTTGAGGAGCTATAGGTGGGAGGGAATGCTTGTGATGGGGAAGTGTTTCTAGGGGGCCTGAGGAAGTCTGGAGCATCCTGGGAACAGAATGTGCTGGCTCAGGCCCTGAGCCATCCCCCAAGCCCCTCCCACCTCTCTCCTCATGTCACTAACCAGTTCCAGCTGTGCACAATCCAGGCCATCTCTTCCCATCTGGCTTCTAGGAACTCATGACTAATTAAAGGAGTGTGTGTTGCCGGAGGTGGGGGGGGGGGGTCTTAAAAACAGAGGTTTCCAGGGAACAGCTTGGAAAACTCAATCCCATTCAGCCAGGGAAATTTCCCTCTCTCCTGATTCCCTCAGGGCTCAGGGGAAACAGGCCAGAAGCTAACACCGCATTTCTCTAAATCAAGAGCAGTGTCTGGGTTCGTGAGTTATAACTTATGCTTTTCTCACCTCCAGTTTCCAGTTTCAGGCCCCAGACTTGCCCTTTATACCGGAATGTCCAGCCCTAGGGGCCACCCCTTTCCGGTAAGGGTGGCTGTCAGAGAGGGCGGGTGGTGGTTTAGAGATCCGCTTCTCTTGGACTTAGAGACTTCTAACAAACCTTTGCCCTATAACCTGTAGCCCTATTGCCCCGATCACTAGAAAATACTCTCAGAATCTAACCTATTTCCTCCTGTTACAGTTTAAAATATTTTATTTAAAAATATTTCCGGGGGTGCCTGGGTGGCTCAGTTGTTAAGCGTCTGCCTTCAGCTCAGGCCATGATCCCCAGGGTCCTGGGATCGAGCCCCGCATCGGGTTCCCTGCTCCGCAGGAAGCCTGCTTCTCCCTCTCCTGCTCCCCCTGCTTGTGTTCCCTCTCTCGCTGTGTGTCTCTCTCTCTCTGTCAAATAAATAAATAAATAAAATCTTAAAAAAAAAAAATTTCCGTATACAACTCTTCCGCCACATTTGTGGACAGGGAGGGAAACTAGTTTGCAGGAAGGGAGCAAGCAAGCCAAAGAACGCAGTTCTTTCCCTCTGAATCAAGTTCTCTTTTTGGGGCAGGCAGAGCACATGTCCTAACCCTTTGCACACATCCCCATATCTCCCCCAGTGAGAGATGACAAATTCAGAGGGAAAAAGAGCTGGGTCAGCCTGGCTCAGGGGGTGGGGGCTGGTGGAAGGGGTGGCCATGATGTCACTAGGGGACCGGTTAGTCACAGGTCCTTGTACATGTGCCCGCCTGCAGCTCCTGGCTCTAGGGGGTTTGGTCTGGGTGCCTGCGGAAACTCTTGGGAGGCTGCAAAGATCATCACAGCTTAAGCCTGAGGCTCAACTGCTTCCTAGCTGTGTGACCTCAAGCAACCTACTAGAGATTGTTTCCTTTTCGGTAATAAGGTGATAATACCAGCTCGGTTGTTGAGAGGTAGATGAGGTAAACTACTCGGCAGCTTTTACTATTTTACTCTATTCTCTCCTGGCTCCTTAGTATCTGGAATGTGGTTCCATGCCAGAGCGAGTGCCCACCTTTTGTAATAATTTCTTACTCACACACTGTCACATGTTCTTAAGTGTCCTCCCTGCTCCTTTTTTTTTTCTCTCATAGATGGTGCCTAAGGGGAGGGAGTAATCAGCTATCACATTCATCTTCTTTCCCTCACATCCTCCCTGTCTGTATCCTCCTCTCTCCCCACCACCCTCAGCTCCTGTCCCTCCTGCATTATTATTATTATTATTATTATTATTTACTATTTCTTATCGCTTTCTCTTCCATCCCAGCCCATGTCTAGGGGCTGAGTCTGGGCAGGCAGAGCTGGAGCTGAACTCAGAGCCACAGAGCTGCAAGGAAATGGGTCAAAATGTTACTAGTGGTTCTCTTCTGGGTAGCATTTACTGGTGATTTTCATGTTCTTCCTTGTTTATTTTGATATTTTCCAAATTTACTACAATGAGCAAAGGATAACTTTTATTCAGGAAAAAGAGAACACTTTATTTATTTATTTAAAAAGATATTTATTTATTTGACAGAGAGAGAGCGTGAAAGAGCACAAGCAGGGGGAGTGACAGAGGGAGAGGGAGAAGCGGGCTCCTGCTTAGGGGAGCCGGACGACGTGGGACTCGATCCCAGGACCCTGGAATCATGACCTGAGCCGAAGGCAGATGCTTAACCGATGGAGCCAGCCAAGGTGGCCAAGAGAAAACTTTAATCAGAAAAAAATTATAATTTTCAATTGGACTATGTCCTGTTCTCAAAAAAAGAGGGAGTGAGGGGTGGAGGGTGGAAAGAAGGGGAGAAAGGCAAGGTTTCAAAAGAACCCTGCAGGGGGCTGAGTGAGAGCTAGTTCCTAAACTCCGTCATTTCCTGGGGACATCAGCCTTGGTGATGGCCTCAGTCATGGCCTTTGTCACTTCTCGGTCAGAAGCTCCCTGTCCTTCCTTGCCTGTCACTGGTCATTTAGGACTTAGTCACCTGATTGTTACCCAGTTCAGGGCTGGGTGGATCAAGGGCTCAGCATCATCAAGGGCAACAATATGAGTCAGGAGTATCCCCCACCTCGACCCTGGAGCGTGAAGGGTTCCCTTGTAAACCTTGCCAGCCTTACAGCCTAGCATGTGGGGAAGGGCTCAGCATTGGGGTCCTACTGAGAACATGAGTTCAGTAACCCCTTCTCCCAGTCCTATCCCTACTTCCCTGTGCATTTGAAGGATATGCAAATGTGTGATGCATAAATGAGAGTGGAACCTTAGGTGGCTCCTAAACATTTGAAGAACAAAATTCTTTTTTTTAAAAAAGATTTTATTTATTTATTTGACAGAGAGAGACACAGCGAGAGAGGGAACCCAAGCAGGGGGAGCGGGAGAGGGAGAAGCAGGCTTCCTGCAGAGCAGGGAGCCCGGTGTGGGGCTCGATCCCAGGACCCTGGGATCATGACCTGAGCCGAAGGCAGACGCTTAACAACTGAGCCACCCAGGCGCACTGAAGAACAAAATTCTGAGCGTCATCAGGGTGGTGCATGGAAAGAGTATGGGTTATGTTGGGTTATGGAGTCAGCAGAGGGATTTGAATATAGCCAGATCAATTGGGAGCTTTATGTGCTTAGTCAAGTTCCTTCTCTGGGTCTCCATTTCCTCTTATAAAAAAAAAAAATGGCCACAAAAATGGCCAAAACAAAAAACAAACAGAAAGACCAGAATAATTCCTCTGTCCTAGGAGGGTTGTGAGAGTTAAATGAGATCATTGATAAATCACCCAACACAAAGTAGATGTTTTAAAGTGGAAGTTTGTCATTTCTTTGTTAAAGAGCGCTCAAGACCCTCTCTCAGCTCTGGCTCCCAACCACTTTCCCACCCCAGTTATTTGTGTGAAAAAGATTCATGAAGCGCCTCCTGAAGCACTGAGCTGGCCAGAGCTAGGTACTAGGGACTCAGCAGGGAATGAAGTAGTCCAGACCCTGGAAACTACTCACCGAGCACAGAAGTTTGGCTCAGCTCTGCACTTTTACTCAAGGCCTGCATGGTCCCTGTCCCTCAGGGCTCTTTTACTCCAGCCACTTCTCAGCCAGCCTTCACAGTCCGGCTCAAAACCTGCCTTCGTGGCGAACCTCCCCACGGCCCCATGATCCTTCGGATGGGGCACCTCTGGTCTGGCATCCTGGTTCCCCTCATTCCGGGTACTTGGATCAGCCTCACCCTATCCGCTATCTCCCTGTGGGCAAGCTCTGACCCTTTGCTTCTTTGTGCCCTTGTTAACCCCCATCCCCACCCCGACATTACGGGCTCATTAAATGCTTGAAATAATGACTTTTTGTTAAAGCACACACAAGTAGGCTTCAAGAAATCCCCAAATTGGTCTCCAGTACAAAGAAACTGAGACCTCATCTCTGATTTCTTCACCTGAAACTTGAGCACCTAAACTGCTTCTTACCACTTCACTCTTATTTTTTTTTCCTATCCTAGAGCAGACAGGGACCCATGAAGGTTGAAGATAAGGGGTTTGCTGCCCCAGGGTTCCTGGGGCACAGGAATGTCCAACTCCAGGGGATAGCGATGGTCCCTATCCCAGTCTGCAGAGTTTCTGCATCTCCTCCTGCCAGGATGCCCACCCCCAGGACAGCATGAAAAGTCTTCTCATCTCCAAGAGAGGACTCTGTGGGAATGGGTTGGGGCTCTTCTTGCCAGAAGCTCTGTGGCAAGGCAGGGGTTAATGGTGAATTGCAACATATCTCTGGGCTGAGTCGCCTCCCACTGCCACTCCTCCCAATTCCCCTCCTCTGAAGTTTTATAAAGAGGGCTGGAGATTGGAGAGTGGGAAGAACTGGAGGCAGGAGCGCCCCCCCTTGCCCCCCCAGCCCTGCTTCCCCAGGCTCCCAGAAGTCTCAGGGCAGAGGGCACAGGCAGCTTCTGGAGTTCCTGCCTGGTGGGACCATGAACTGGCAGTGGCTGTGGCTGGGCTTCCTATTCCCTATGACAGTCTCAGGCCGGGCCCTGGGGCCTGCAGGGAAAGAGACAGCAGTGGTGAGTGTCCCGAGGAAGGAGGGACCCAGGCCCAGGAAGGGATTGGGGCACTGTGCCACAGACCCGTCCAAGCCTCCCTCCTGACCTTCAACCTGCCTTTCCCATCCTTCCTCTGCTCCATGATCTACTCTTGCCTGTCCCCCACTCCTTGCCTTTGTTCCAGCTGAGCCCCTTTCCTAAGATGCCTCTCCTTTAGTCCTTCCATGTCTGTCCCCATCCTATCCTCATGGGTCTGTTAGGTCACTGAGAAGCTCTACCCTGAGATTCACTCCCTTTCTTATTCTGTGCCGTGATCCCCATCATAGGATTACCTGTTGCAATATGGGTACCTACAGAAGCCTCTAGAAGGACCTGATGACTTCAGGCCAGAAGATATCATGGAGGCTCTGAGGTGAGAGGTCATAAGGCACATGAGGCACATGCCTTAAGGGTGAAGGTTGCAAGGTCATCTTTTCCTCTTCTCATTTCTTCCTCTCCCCAGGCCCACTTCTGCCTGACTCGAGTCCATGTCAGGGATCTAGGGAATGGGTTGCTATCACTCTTAGGGGGGTGGGGCATGGAGTGAGATGGGGATTCAAAGACGAGGAGCAGTCATTGGATCTTCCTAGGCCCTGAGCATCCCTTTGGAGGCTCCATTCCACATTGTATCCAACATACTATTAGCGACATCCCACACGAAGTATAATTTACATGTAAAACTATGAGTTGAGGTCATATGGAGTTGAGTTGTTGGCATGATGTTGCTTTTTGTAGACATTTAATTCAGCATTTATTTCTATTTTGAAGTTTTCTTTTCCTATTTTGGATCTAATGGATAGTTTTTCTTTCTGCTCTCAGATATGTTCACAGTCCCTTGAAAAGCCACCGTGCCTGCAGTATCTGAGTGATGAAATTGCCCCAGAGCAGGCTGGGCTGGGAGGGGGGTCTAGCCAGGAGGAGAAGGCCGAGGGAGGACAGGCCCTCAGGTAGGACCAGTGGTGGGAGAGTCTCCAGAGCAGGGGGCAGGACACTTTCCCAGAGCAGAAGTTTAGAGATTGCAGCAGGGGAAGAAGGCTACACCTGAGGGAAACCTCACACAAATAAGAGACTGAAGATGGGCAGGTGAAGCTGGAGTATCGCTATTTCTGCAGAACAGAAGAGAAAGTCCTAATTATGAAGACTGGATACTAGAGTGATCCCATCAGCTTCAGAGATTCTGTATATGTGCTGCCGAAGCGAGCACAAGCTTCAGAGATTCTGTGACATTCTCAGCTACCACCATGGGCAGAAGGGGGCCAAAGAGCTATCCCCAGTTTCCAGTCATTCCAGATTCCCCTGCCCTGTTGGGCCCATCCCTCTCCCTCTTTTCAGAACTTTTCAGGAAGCATCTGAGCTGCCAGTCTCAGGTCAGCTGGATGATGCCACAAGGGCCCGCATGAGGCAGCCCCGTTGTGGCCTGGAGGACCCCTTCAACCAGAAGACCCTTAAATACCTCCTGTTGGGTGAGGACTGAGACTGGGAAAGGGAGGGAAAGGAGGCTGTGGCATGGCTCTGGATTACAGGTGACATTGGGACAGCCTGGTCCAGCTCAGAGTTGAATGGATGATCACCTGGTGATTAGCTAATCATCACCTGCCTGGACACATAGCTATGTTGAGTGAATGCCTGGACTCAGGGGAGCTCTCTGGGTTTGGCAGAGGATCTCTGTTTCTAATCTATTTTCTGATCCAATAACCAGGCCGCTGGAGAAAGAAGCACCTGACCTTCCGCATCTTGAACCTGCCTTCCACCCTCCCTCCCCACACAGCCCGGGCTGCCCTGCATCAAGCCTTCCAGTACTGGAGCAATGTGGCCCCCCTGACCTTCCAGGAGGTGCAGGCTGGCTGGGCTGACATCCGCCTCTCTTTCCATGGCCGCCAGAGCCCATACTGCTCCAATTCCTTTGATGGGCCTGGTAGGCACCAGCTCTTGGCTCCCACCTCACAGAAGTTTGAGATTATCTCTGTCCCCTTGAGCCAGTGACTCTGGAACCTTAATGTTCAAGCAGCCACCTGTGCCCAACTGCACCCTACACTCTCTAACCACCTTCTAACATTCTCTTGGGGAGCAGCTGGTCACCTTCCTGGGGTCTTATCAAGCCTCCTCTTTGAAGCTTATGCCTTAGTCCTTGGTTTAAGTTCCCCTGCTCAAGACACCCCTCAGAGGACTGGGCAAGAGAGAAGAGAGTGGTTGGGAAGTACAGAGACAGAGGGATGGGCAAAGCAGAGAGAACTGGGTGATGAAAAAGGGAGGTGAAAATTCAGACAGAGGCATCCGAGAGACTGAATATAGATGGAAACTTAAGGGAATGGAGAAATTGGGGTTTATTACAGGCAGGGGATGCTTTAGCCTAGGAGACTCTGACCTCCTTCCTGTCTACCTTTGTCTTTGTCCAGGGAAAGTCCTGGCCCATGCCGACATCCCAGAGCTGGGCAGTGTGCACTTCGATGAAGATGAGCTCTGGACTGAGAAGACTTACCGGGGGGTGAACCTGCGCATCATTGCAGCCCACGAACTGGGCCATGCCCTGGGGCTTGGGCACTCTCGATATACCCAGGCCCTCATGGCCCCTGTCTATGCTGGCTACCGGCCCCACTTCAAGCTGCACCCAGATGATGTGGCAGGGATTCAGGCTCTCTACGGTTAGTCTTTTCCCTCAGGTTATGGCTAGTCATGACCCCTAGTGATCATGAGCGTCAGTGTGACCAGCATCTCTTCAGGCTTGAAGAGACAGGTCTGACCTCCATGGTAGGAAATGACTTGGCTTCTTTCTCTTCCGCCTACCCAGTTATCCAGGCTTCTGCATTTTCAGGAGTTGTTTTTCTGACATTCCATGTCTGCTCTTCCTTCCAGGCCTCTCTCCCCTCTTACCTGTTCTTGGGGATGAAGAAGAATGAATATTCCAGCAAACTTCCTTCCCCCTTTCTGGTGCCTCTCAAAACTGAAACGTGTCTCCTGTCGATATCAATACGATCTTGCCTCCCACCAAGAGAAATTCTCTAAGATTCTCTTTTCCCCTTTCTACGGGGCCTCTGAGCCAAACTTACAGAAGAGTGGGGAGGCCAGGTGCTATGAGTTCTCTCCTTGAGCAGCATTATGTGACCTTGCAGGCAAGAAGAGCCCAGAGATAGAGGATGAGGAAGAAGAGATGGAGCTCCCCACTCTACCACATGTGCCCACAGAGCCCAGTCCCATGCCAGACCCCTGCAGTGGTGAACTGGATGCCGTGATGCTGGGTGAGGCCCTTCCCCTCCATCCCCTCCAGGCTATAGGCAGTTGGTGGCAGCAGCCCACTGCCTTTGAGACATGGACAAATGGGAAAGACATGGGACCTCAGCATGAGCAACAGAGGTTAGATACCAGGCAGGGGTTAGTGGCCATGGGAGAGGCCATGTGGCATGGTGAGGGAGGCTTCAGAGCCAAATTAAAGGTGGGTTAGGTGGGCATTTACCTCAGTTGCCTCCCTATAAGGGCCACCAAAACATAAAATATAGCAAGATGAAGAAAACTCTATTTGCTGGAATGTCTATTAGAGACCGTATTATACCTGCATGGAAGGACAACTTGGAAGCTACTTGGAATGGGAGGTGAGGTCCCCAAAGGGAAGCAGCTATCTGCAGGGCTTTTGTTTCGTTGAGTGAATTAGAGTGCTCAGAGCAGGGCTTTTGTTTCATTGAGTGAATCTGAATAATGAAGAGGCTGAACATGGAGTCTTCCTTCTCCACCTTAATTCTTTTTTTAAAGTTGAATGAAGTTTTGAGGACCCAGCCTGTGGGAGGAGAGCAGATTATCAGCCTGCCTGAGGTGCCCATCAGTCTTTATTTGACCCGGGTCTTTTTGACTTGTTCACATTTTTGCCCTCAGGGCCCCGAGGGAAGACTTATGCCTTTAAGGGGAACTACGTGTGGACGGTGACTGATTCAGGGCTGGGTCCCTTGTTCCAAGTGTCTGCCCTTTGGGAGGGGCTCCCAGGAAACCTAGACGCTGCTGTTTACTCTCCTCGAACACAATGGATTCACTTCTTTAAGGGTAAAAGGGACTGGTTTACAGTGTGTTACCTGAGGGGGGCCTACCATCAAAGAAGCCGCAAAAGGGAGGGAGAGATGAGAAGTTTCTGGAAGGGTGGAATGGGAGAACCAAAAGCTATCACCTCAAGACAGAGATAACTTGTTCTTTCCTTAACTGCTCTCAGGAAACAAGGTGTGGCGCTATATTAATTTCAAGATGTCTCCTGGCTTCCCCAAGAAGCTGAATAGGGTAGAACCCAACCTGGACGCAGCTCTCTATTGGCCTTTCAACCAAAAGGTGTTCCTCTTTAAGGTATAAAGCTCAAAGCAAGGGCACATCCCTTCTTAGGAGGGGTGGGCTACCTCACACCGAGAAGCAGACTTGCTCTCAAAGGGAGATCATTTGCAGCTGGGGGTAGATCTGGGGATCCTTGAGCTCTCTCCTTATCCTCTTCTTCTCGCTACCCACCCTACTCCTAGGGCTCCGGGTACTGGCAGTGGGACGAGCTGGCCCGAACTGACTTCAGCCACTACCCTAAACCAATCAAAAGGTTGTTTACGGGGGTGCCAAACCAGCCCTCCGCTGCTATGAGTTGGCGGGATGGCCATGTCTACTTCTTCAAGGGTAAACAATACTGGCGCCTCAACAGGCAGCTTCGGGTAGAGAAAGGCTATCCCAGAGATACCGCCCGCAATTGGATGCACTGTCATCCCCCGACCTCAGACCCTACTCTGTCAGGTGGAGATGCCGCTCCTTCAGCCACAGGTACTGACCACTCTGCCACAGGAACAACTGTGGACACCACTTCCTCAGCCATAGATACCACCCTGAACACTGACCACCCACCCGAAGACCCCATCGTGGACATTACCCTCTCAGCCACAGGCTTCCCCACCCTTTCATTCCCTGGTAATGTCACCCTCCCAGAGGCCTAAGGCGTGAATCAAATGTCGCCTCACTAGGCTGCCAGGCTGCAGCAGGGGCATGAACCATAGACCTCAGGTCTCTAAATGTCCCAGCTCTAGCCACCACTCCTCTGTGCTCTTGCCCTCCTGGGCAGTGACTCCCTAACTCTGGGTCAGCTCCCAACTCTATACATTTCTTCTCCACCCTAGATAGCACTTTGAACTGTGTTATCTACTCTCTGGAAGACAGTGGTAGAAGGAAGGCATCACTCAGGCCCTTGGCTGACGGGTGGCAGCAGCTGGGAAGCTAAATGCCTGGGTCCTGTTCTTCCTAGATAAAGTGCAAGAAAATGGCATGGCCAGTAAAATGAGCAAGGGCTTTGGAACCCTTTAAGAATCACACTTACTTGCTTATGACTTTGGGCAAGTTAATTAACCTCATGAGCCTCAGATTCCCCATCTACAAAATAAGGTCAATACCAATCCTGCAGGGTTTCTGCATTAAATGAAATACTGTTTGTGAAGTGCAGGGCACAATGTCTGGCACATTTGTGCTTAATAAAGGCTAACTCCATGTTCATTAGAGAGGACTGAACAGCTCTTCCTCTGGCTGTGTGTGTGTGTGTAGCTGTGAGTCCGGTCGTCCAGTCTGATAAGAATAGCTGTATCAGATCTTTAGGGGACCAGAGGGCTTGTCAGTCTGGCTAACTGTTTGGGGGTGCAGAGAAAGAAAAGAGCAGCAATAGCAGGGGCTGGACTCCCCAGTTCAGTGTTCAATGCCATTTTATTCACATGCTCCGTGTTCTTCCTCCCTCCCATCATAGCTTTGTTGCCCAGGGGAGGAAGATATCTTCCTTCATGCTGTCTGGGGAACCAGGGAACAGACTGAGCAGGAGAATCAGAGGAGGGAGTTAGAATGGGTTGGTGGCTGGGACAAAGTTCTAGTTAAGGAGATTAGCATCACCTATAGTGAGAAGCAGAGAAGGCACTCGTCTCCCATGCAGCCGTGAAGACTGGGCTACTTTGGGCAAAAGGGCAAAACTCTGGCATGTGGGAAAATTGTCTCTCCTTGGAACAAGTAGACAGCTTTGGGGGGAGGCAGGTTCTGCACCATGCATTGCCCCGTGGTCTCCCCCACATTTAGGAGAGAAAGGGAAGCACCATGGAGGACAGTACTCCCAACTGAGGTAGGAGAAGGGGACTTGAGCCTATGGACCCAGGAGGAAAGGCTAACCAGGAGCCAACCACCCGCTAATGAGAGGTGTAGGGATTAGGTGATCTTAGTGCTCCTTTGTGCCCTTCTCCCCATCAAATAGCTATTGAGTGCTTTAGGGAGCTTCCTGGTTTTCTGTAGGTCCTACAACAAAAGCCCTTATTTTACCATTGTGAGGCACACTGAGGCAAGTATATAAAAGGCTTTTTGGGTAAGGGCCCTCCTTGGTTTGGAGGGAATTAGGAAGTCAGTTACTTTAGGGGCCAGGGCACCTCTATTATTGGACAGAGGTAGGTACTCATACTTCCATTCTTCTCCCCTCCCCACAAGATTCCCCTTTATCTGTCCCTGAAACATATCCCTACAGGGCTGGGCTGGGTTGGAGTACAGATTCTATCCCCAGTGAGAGAGGTGGGGAAGTTTGTGTGAGGGTCCTGTGGGCTCAGGCCCTGCATACTTGGTGTTCCAAGGCCCTTGCTAGGGATGGAAGCATCAGTGGAGGTTTAGGCTCAGGTCTGGGTGGAACCAGAAGGTGTGGTGAGGGGTACAGTGGAACCACAGTCAGAATCCAGATCCAGGACGGTGTTGGGGGCTGTGGCCTGGGTGCCTGGTCCCAGTTGGCGCTCTCGAAGGCTCTGGAGATAACTCTGGAGAGGCACAGGAGAGAGGGCTGAAGGAAGGGCCTGGGTCAGAGCCCCCGCCTCCTACCCTGACCATCCCCATGTGCCCTCTGTCCCATCCCCAAGTGTGCCCCTCCCCTCACTCACAGGAGCCAGACTATCAGCAGGGCTCCGGGCATTGGGGGGAAGCTGGCGCCGGTAGCTGCCTTCACAGAGCCCCACCCCAGGGGATGTCCGATGCCACTTGGCCTCTTGCTGACGGATCCGAAGGAGTTGAAGATGCCTTCGCTGGTGGCTCAAGACCACTGCTTGGGAGGGGGCCGTACGGACTCAGGGAGGCCTCTTTAGACCTTGAACCCCACCTCCAAACACCCTCACCCTCTAGAGAAACCCATTTGATCTCCCTGTTCTGTCTCTCTCAAACCTCATTTCCCCCCTGGTTATTCTAATAGAAACTCTTCTCTGGAATCCTCCTACACTTTCCTCCTGGACTTCCCTGAGATCTTTCTTTCCTTCCATAACAGTCCCCAGTAACTAACTCCTCCCTGCTTCTGCTCCTCTGACAATTTTTCCTTATTCTTACCCAGACCGTTGGCTCCTCCAGCTCTAACTTCCTTTCAATGCCCTGCCTTATTCACCTTAGACACCGCCACCCCTAAGTATAATTCTCCCCCACCCCCGCCCCGTCAAGTTTGGGAACTGGGGACATGAGAAGGCACAGGTTTGCTGCTTCTGTACCATGGCACTAACTCACCATTGGCGTGGCCTCCATGTTCCTCATCCATGAGCTTCCACTGGGCTAGGGCCCCAAGGGCCCCCAGGGCTGGCCAGGTGCCCAGCAAGACCCAGCTATACCAGCAGAGAGGAGGCAAGGCTGGAAGTGCCTGCAAGCGTTGGCCCAGCCGACTGCCCAGTGCCAGCCCCTCTAGGAAGTAGTCAGCACAGGCCACCAGCACCGCAGCACCCAGCAGGGCTGTGCCCAGAACTGTGAATGGACGTGGCCACCGAAGCGTGAGCAGGGCTCCCAGCAGTGCCAGCCCCACCAGCCCCCCAGCCGGCACCCAGGCTGAAGGTGGTTGGTAGATGGGCTCTGTGCCCAGCAGGGCCCCGGCACCCAGGGTTAGGCCCAGCAGGAGACCAGTCAGGAAGAGCCCAACGCTGCGAACCAACATGGTGACCAGGCCACAGAGGAGTCCAATGCCCAGCGCAATGCCCGCGCTCACCTCCAGGCTCAGCTGTGTCTCTAGCACTCGCTCCTTGTGGCACAGCAGGAAGATCACCAGAGCTCCTGACAGCAGGCCCGAGAGAAACATTACTGCCTTGAAGCAGCGGTAGCCTGGGAAAGGAGGCAGGTGGCACTGAGAGACAGGGATGGCTCTGATGAATTAGAAGGGAGAGGAGTGGCTAACCAGAGGAGCAGAAGACAGGAGCAGCAACCCAGGGACCTCAAGGCAAGGGGCAGGAAGGGATCATCTCAGGGAAGGCAGGGGACCTTTCAAAAACTGTGAGGGGGTGGGAGGAAAAATCAGGAGGTAAGATGGATACACTGTGTGGAATAAATACGGAAAAAAAGGTTTAGTACTTCCAGGGATGGTAGATGGGAAGAAATCAGCACAGGCTGATTTAGGTTATTGGGGAAGGGCTGAAGAAGCCTTAAACATGGAGGATAATGTGGGAATGGAGTTTTGAGGTAGGAGACAAGGGAGAGGCAAGTGAGAGTTGCCAGGGGTCAGAGCTAGAGGGCATGGATATGGGGCGGGGACAAGATGAGCTGGCAAGAGCAGCATGAAGGTAGGCATCCCCTAATAGAGGAGTAGAGGTGGCCCAGGAGCAAAGGAGAAAGTTGGCATCATCCTTGAGGGTGACAGTTTTGGGCAGCTGCCCCCCAGAATCCTGGCCCTGCCCTCACCGAAGCAGCAGTAGATGATTCCAAAGCAGCAACAAAGAGCACACACCAGGGCGGGTGCCAGTTCAGGATTGTCCTGGCGTTCCAAGACACATCTTGGGTCTGGAGGCTCTGGGAGTTGTTGATTAAAGGGCCTGGGGTCAGAGGTCATGGCCAGGGGCAACAAGGCTTCCTCCATGGCCGAAGAAAAGGTGATCCCAGAGGGGAAGGTCAGTGTCAGCTCCTCTCATCCATCCATGAATATCTTGAGGGGGTTGGGAAACCTGCAAGGGGGTAGGGGGCAGGAACTCAGGTGCCCATGAATCTTGAGGATTCTGTACCTCTACTTCTTATGAAGAAAGGCCAATCTCAGGAGGGAGCATGGCCTTGCTGGGGTAACTGAAAACATCTATAGGACTGGGTCAAGGGGAGCCAGCTGTCTTTTTACTACCCTCTGAAACAAGGACACTAAGTAAAACTTAAACTAAAATCTTATAAAGTTATGACACTTTATCTGCTCCCTAGCTTTCCAGGGTGGGTTGGGAAGAGTAGGAAGTCCTAGGTCAGTGGAAGGAGGGGCCCAGGGACATTAGTGGGACTGGGCGCTAAAGGCCCAGAAGCTTGTTCCAGCTAAAAAGAAAGCTTGCCCCATCTGCAGTTGGGACTCAATACTGCCTCACTGGACTGGGAAAGGTGGGGTTAATTGAGGGGGGAGGAGGAGAAAGAGGAGAGAATGAGTCATGGTGGGGTCTCTGGACAGCTGCTCCAACCCCAGGGAAGGAAGAGGGGAGAAAAGAAACAGACACCAAAAGAGTTTGGGACAAGGAATCAAGTAGAGACAGTCCCCACACTTTGTCAAGGTTCTGAAGCCTTAGCTTCATGTGGAGATGGAGTTGTTGGGGGAAGGTGCATCTGGCCACAGTCCAATTCCCATGGTCCCTCTTGGACTAAGCAGGCACCTTGCCCACAGACATCTCACATCCTGGTAGCCTCTTGCTCCCTCCTCTCAGGACATTGGTGGGACTTTTCCTACCCCTCCCTTACCATAGGGGTGTCAGGGCTGCCAGTGGGATTTGAATTCAGCTCCTGAAAGGAAAACACCAAGGAGGGGCTGGCATTGGGGGCACTGTGGGAGTGGGGTAGGATGGATGCAGGGGCTTTCATCTGTCTTCTTTTGGACATCAAGGTCCTAACAGGCTAGAGGGTTGGCGTGGGGAATCCCTGGGGCTCCTCTCTTCAATCCGCTTGGAAGTCTAGGAACTCTAAACAAGGACAGATTGGGGAAGGAGTGTTAACTACTCACCACCCTGCCAGGGCTCAGGAGAGGCGGGGGTAGAAGTGCTTCCCTAACCCCCCTGCTGCATCCTTGCCCGGAGGTCCTAGGCGTCGGGGCGGCTGTCGGGCGTGGGCACCCCCAGGGTCACTCTGTTCGTTGCCCCCTAAACTCTTCCAAGTCGAAGCCCAAGCCCCGTGAGCTAAATGCAACCAGCCTGGGGGGCGGAAGAAGGGGACAGGGTGTGTGGAGGGTGACATCACGGGGCGGGCCCCTCCAACTCTTTTCCCTATGTGTGGGGGGGACCCAGTTTGGCCACTGCTCTAGGCTGGGACCAGAGACCCCCCGACCATAGCAGGGAACGGTTTTGGGGACACCGCAAGACGTCTGGGGAAAGGTCTCTGAATACTTAGGCGACGACTCGACAACTAGAAGCTATGAAAACCCCAACTGGGGTCCCAGTGCCCCCCTAGCCCCGGCTTGGTTTCTTCCACTTCCCAGAGAATTGGAGTATTGTCTTCTGGAGAACCTGGTGGTCGAGATTGGGGACCCGGGGAAAGGGCTTTTACAGGACTGGGGGAGCCGGCGAGGGGCTCATGGGCGGAAAAACTTGCGGAGCAAGACGGGGTCTGGAAGGGGGACTAACGGCTGAGGCGCGTGCAGAGGAGGGGACGCAAGCTGGATCTGCGTGGGGGCGGGAGCGCGTGTCGACGTCAACCGAGAGCAGCTCGGTATGCAAATGAGACGCAAAACAGCATGTAGATGAGTGCACTGGTTTTTGGCACTCCGCTCGGGTCCTGAGCCCAGCGGAGCTACGCTCCTAGTCGCCCAGAACCGCTCCGTTGACGGTGCCTTGGAGCTGCGTCCCGAGGGGCGGATCCGGGCCGTGGGAGCTGCAGTTATACCGGGCAGTTCGCCAGCTGGGTCAGGCCCTGGGGAGGCCGAGGATTGCTGGGAAAGAAGGGGCAGTGCAGGGAGGCCAGGGCGGGGGCGGGCCCGGGGCGTCCTCCCCTCTGCTCCACCTCCGCATGATACAAAAGGATCTCTGTCCTCGCTACAGGCAGCCGGGAAAGGATCGGGGTGGTGGCTCTTCTACGGTCCCTGGTTTTGTCTGCAAGGAAAACAGACTGTGGCTCGGTGGCTGTCCTCCATCTCCCAGTCTCGGCAAAGCCCACGAATACAGCCAGAAGAACCCTGAAAAATCTGTCCCCCGTCCGCAGGGACTGCTGCAGCGCCCACCAGCGGTGCAGCCTGGGGGGTATCACTCCAGCACGCGGAGGGTGGCAGCAAAGATCCCTTTAAGGGGCGGGGCCAGTGCTTCCTCAGGACCGCCTCCTCCGATTTGACTCAGCTTGCTCTACTGGCTCGCGCCTCCGCCAACCGCTTTTTCGTTTCCTTCCCGTCTCTTCCCGGGTGACCCCGGAAGTGGAAGTAGACGTAAGTCGGCGGCCACGGCGGGGACGGAAGGCGGAAGCAGAGCGTGAGCGGGAGGCGGAGCCGGGGGAGCTGCTCTCGTAGCTCCCCCTGGCCCTAGGCCCAGCTGCTCGAGGGGGAGGAGTTACCGCCGCTCTTCGGGTATGTTACCTTCGCCCCCTCTACCCAGCCCAAGGGTTTCCTGGATGTCTTTCTCAGGGGCAACCCTAAGCTCCGCCCCCCAGGTTTTCTTTAAGAACCGCACGGTCCCCACCCTTTTCTGGCAGCCTGCGGCCCCCCTTTCCGGTCGTCTTTCCCTTTTTACCCGAGAGTGACCCCCGGCCACATCCTTTGCGGTACCTCCCTATATCCCTGATTCTGGATTATAGCCTTCTGGGGAAAGAAGAAAAACTAAGGGGATTTTTGAGGGGGGGAGGGAGCACGGTTGTGGTTAATGTAGTATTGGCTTATTGGTAGGGATAACGAACGCCCCAGAAAAATTTGAGAAAACAAGGGAGATGGGTGCATTAATTATATCCCCAATTTAAGGTTATTTAACCCCCTCTTGGTTCAATCCTGATCATCCCCACCTTGATACCTTTGTTACAGGCATCAGAACTTATCATGATGGCTGTGACCTAAAATCCTCAGGAAGCCCCGGGGTCATGGCCCAGAAGCACCCCGGAGAAAGAGGGTTGTGTGGAGCCCACCACAGTGGTGGTGCCTCCTTCAGGACTTTAGGATCCTCTGTGGACCCTGAAATACTTTCATTCTCAGGACTCAGGGACTCAGCGGGGCCTGCTCCTAATGGTACCCGCTGCCTCACAGAGCACTCTAGTCCTAAGTACACACAGCCCCCAAACCCAGCCCACTGGTCGGATCCAAGCCATGGCCCCCCAAGGGGTCCAGGACCCCCTAGGGATGGAGAGGACCCTGACCAGAGTGAGGCATCTTCAGAAGAAGAGTCAGGAGTGGACCAGGAACTCTCAAGAGAGAATGAGGCTGGGTACCAGGAGGATGGGAACCCTTCTTTTCTTTCCATTCCATCTGCTTGCAACTGCCAGGGAACCCCTGGAATCACTGAAGGGCCTTACTCTGAGGGAGGAGATAGCTCTTCTAGCAACTTTTGCCACCATTGTACCTCTCCAGTTTTGGGGGAAGATGAAGAGTTGGAAGAGGAATATGATGATGAGGAACCTCTTAAGTTCCCCAGTAATTTTTCACGTGTGCCCAGTGCGAAGAAACCGCCACCCCGGCGACAGCGGCACCGCGTCCCGGCCAAGGAGGATACTCGGGAGGGTGGACGCAGAGATCCCAGGTCCCCTGGCCGACATCGGTTGGGCCGGAAAAGAAGTCAGGCAGATAAGCGCAGAGGCCTGGGATTATGGGGAGCAGAGGAACTGTGTCAGCTTGGACAGGCAGGCTTCTGGGGGCTGATTGAACTGCTGGTATTGGTGGGAGAGTACGTGGAAACTTGTGGCCATCTCATCTATGCATGCAGGCAGCTGAAAGGCAGCGATCTGGACCTTTTTCGAGTCTGGCTGGTAGTCTGGGCAGGGCGGCTGGGGGGCTGGGCCCAGGTGATGTTCCAGTTTCTGAGCCAAGGATGTTACTATGGGGCAGGGCTGTTCACCCGTTTTCTTAGGCTACTGGGTGCTTTGCTGCTTCTGGCTCTGGCCCTCTTGTTGGGCTGTCTACAGTGGGGCTGGCGGTTTCTGGTGGGACTGGGTGACTGGTTAGGCTGGAGGGGTAAAGCCACTTGGCTCTTTTCTTGGCTGGATTTTCCCACCTTGCAGCGTTGCCTGATTCTGCTGAGAGATAGCAGGCCATGGCAGCAGTTGGTAAAAATGTTTCAGTGGGGTTGGCTGGAGTTGCCTTGGGTCAAGCCAAGGACTAATAGGCAGGGGAATGCACCTGTAGCAGGTGGTCGCTACTGCCAGCCTGAGGAAGAAGTGGCTCGACTCTTGACCATGGCTGGGGTTCCTGAGGATGAGCTAAACCCTTTCCATGTGTTGGGGGTTGAAGCCACAGCATCAGATGTTGAACTGAAGAAGGCCTATAGGCAGCTGGCAGTGATGGTGAGTACCTTTCCCGTGTTTCCTGTTCCTCTTTTGTGCTCGCATTTTATTTTCTATTCCAATTTTAGGGAGAATATGATAAAGAGAAGGCAGAGTAAAAAGTCAACTTGAAGCTGGGGTAACATTAATTCTTAGGAAATAGTCATAAAGACTTTTTTCCCTGTACTATGGGATCTGACTTTCCCTTCATTTTAAGCTTTTTGTCATGAGATATTTTTTTTTTTAAAGATTTATTTATTTGAGAGAGAGAGCACTAGAGAGCGCACGAGGTGGTGGTAGGGGGGAGAGAGAGAAGCAGACTCCCCGCTGAGCAGGGAGCCGATGCAGGGGCTTGGTCCCAGAACCCTGGGATCATGACCTGAGCCGAAGGCAGACGCTTAACCAACTGAGCCACCCAGGTGCTCCTTGTCATGAGATTCTTAACGAAAAGAAATGAACCTGGTCTATCAGTGTTGGACCACTCACCCTGGAATATCCAGGTGAATGAAGTCCCTCCAACTAGGGTGGAGAAGAGGCCTAATCAGAAAGCCTGTCAATTCCTCTACCCTGAACAAATGAGGGTTTTTTGAACAGGGTGAAATCCAACTATCTGTCCCAGAGAGGCAAGTGTGGACTTAGTGTGGGAAGATTCAGGGAGTGCATGTGATTATTCCAGGACCAGGTGAAAGAAAACAAAGTATTTCAAGACCAGCAATCTAGAGTGGAAAAGGGAAAGAGAATGGAACATAAACCATAGAGAGGCATGTGCATCTGTAGGTCATACGTGAACATATGGTTTTTGTTGTTTTTCTTTTTAAGATTTTATTTTTAAGTAATCTCTATACCTGATGGGCTCAAACCCACAACCCTGAGATCAAGAGTCCCACTGCCCTATTGACTGAGCCCTCCAGGCGCCCCATGATGTGGTTGCTTTTATTGATAAAGGGGCGGGTGGTACAGGTGGCAGTTGTGATGCCCCATTTGCTTGAGGGAAATGGTTTAATACAGGCATGTAAATTGCTATTACTAGATACTAATTTGCTGTTTTTAGATACGATTATTACGGTTTTTTCTGTAAGTAAAACTATGTTATAAGTAAATGTGTGTAAATTCCATCGGAGGCCTGTTTGAGTGTATGGACTGGTAAAATTATCACGGTGTGTAAATTACTTCAAGGACTGCATGACAACAAAGAGGAATGGGTAACCAAGGTGTCCATTAACTGTTCAAGACACGGTAAGGTACCAGGCCTATAACTTAGCAGAGGACTAAATTAGTTTGGTGGGAAATGCATACCCCTTAGTGGATAGACTGGGATATTCTTTTTTTTTTTTTTTAAGATTTTATTTTATTTTTTGACAGACAGCGAGAGAGGGACCACAAGCAGGGGGAGTGGGAGAGGGAGAAGCAGGCTTCCCGCCGAGCAGGGAGCCCAATGCGAGGCTCGATCCCAGGACCCTGAGATCTTGACCTGAGTGGAAGGCAGACGCCTAACAACTGAGCCACCCAGGCGCCCCTAGACTGGGATATTCTTAAGAGTAGGGAATGATAGTTTATACTCAGATTGTTACTAGCAGTAGAGCTTTTTTCTCACTTTCATGTCTTTTAGTAGACATCCTCTCTTGAGGAATAGCATTCTTAGAAAAATTCTCATTTTCAACTTGCTTTCTTGGAGTAGAGATAGAGTTAAGTTCCCTGATCCTCAACACACCTGCCCTACCCCTCAAAGTACTCCCTTGTTCTGGGCCACTGTCTGTTGGCTTCTTTTACAGAAACTCTCACTGCCCTTATTAAGCCTCAGAATGACCAGGACTAAAAGGCTGTTCTATAAGCATGGGTACGTGGAGATTTAACAGCATTCTGTTTATTTGGCATCATCAGGAGACTAGCTTTATTTTGCACTTTTGGAAAAGGAGGATGGGAACAATCAGGAAGCTGTAGGAGGTGAGGATACTATTTGTCTTAGAGAAAAGGCTGAAAGGTGGATAAAAAGCCTGTGAGGATCACAATATGCTATTTCATTTCTGGGACAGAAAGGCAAACCATTGTAGATGTACATATGAGTATTTTCTAGTTAGAATGAGTTTGAGGTTGTAGTATCTTTGGAACTCTTACTTTATGATTGACAGTAGAGTTAAAATGTGAGGGCTTAGTATGTGTGTACCAGGTAGGGTGACCAACCATCCCTGTTTGTCTAGGATTGAGGGTTTCTTGAGACATGAACTTTCAGTGCCAAAACTGGGACAGTCCCAGGCACACTGAGATGGTGGATTACCCTACTGCCAAATCCTGTACTATATATGTTGTGAGTATTGTCCCAGTAATCCATGATAGATATAGTATTCTAGGTTATATAGTTAATAGTGACAGAGCTAGAACTTGATCCCGTATCTGGCTGCAGAGCCAGAGCAATTAGTCATTAAGCTGTATTGATTCTTTAAAAGGGTGGTGAAAGAGAACCCTTTGATATGAGGGTTATTATTATTTTTTTTTTTTTTAAAGATTTTATTTATTTATTTGAGAGAGAGAATGAGATAGAGAGCACCAGAGGGAAGAGGGTCAGAGGGAGAAGCAGACTCCCTGCTGAGCAGGGAGCCCGATGTGGGACTCGATCCCGGGACTCCAGGATCATGACCTGAGCCGAAGGCAGTCGCTTAACCAACTGAGCCACCCAGGCGCCCCCAGGGTTATTATTATTTTTTTAATTCGGTTCCACGCCCAGTGTGTAGCCCAAGGTGGAGCCCAACGCCAGGCTTGAACTCACAACCCTGATATCAAGAATCGGATGCTTAACCCACAGAACCACCCAGGCATCCTGATAATGAGGGTATTTTGACGTAAGTTGGGGAGAGGGTTGGAATGGATTTGTGATGAAATCTTTTGTCTTGGTAGGTTCATCCTGACAAAAATCATCATCCCCGGGCAGAGGAGGCCTTCAAGGTTTTGCGGGCAGCTTGGGACATTGTCAGCAACCCTGAAAGGCGGAAGGAATATGAAATGTAAGTTGGAAATGGGAAATTGTCAGGTGGGATAAATGACTAATCTTCATAGTAGAGCTCCCTGGACTTGTGGATGAGTCTCTCTGAGGCGGAGAGAACTGGGGTTGCTTATTTTTCTAGCTGGCCTGGGGCCTCAAGAAGCTAAAAGATTCATCTCCCTTTGTCCCTTGCTCAATACCTTCTGATTTACAAAGGCTTTTTTCTCTTAGGAAACGAATGGCAGAGAATGAGCTGAGCCGTTCAGTGAATGAGTTTCTGTCCAAGCTGCAGGATGACCTCAAAGAGGCAATGAATACTATGATGTGCAGCCGATGCCAGGGAAAGCATAGGTACGAAATAGGGCAGGGATGGGACAGCCACAGCTTAGGCATTGGGTAGCCAAAGACTTCCTTGTGAGTATTACTGGTAGTTGGGGGATACAGCTGATGAGTAAAAAGACCCTGAGGTTTCTACTTTTGCCTTAGTGTCAAGAGATTGGGGATTTGAATTTGCAGTGAGAAAAAAGTAATATTTTTAGTTTTAAGAGAGAAGGGTGAGCGTATGGGTGTTTGTAGACATATGTTAACAACTGAGTGGAAATAATTTTAGATATTTTAGCCATATTTGTCAATAATAATGATACTATATGCTTGATTTTAGCCAAAAGGCCGAGAAGCGATTATAATGATGATACTATAACAATGTCGTAGGCTTGACAAATTAAAAGGAACTGTCCTTTTGTTGGGTTGTAGGAGGTTTGAAATGGACCGGGAACCTAAGAGTGCCAGATACTGTGCTGAGTGTAAGAGGCTGCATCCTGCTGAGGAAGGAGACTTTTGGGCAGAGTCAAGCATGTTGGGCCTCAAGATCACCTATTTTGCACTGATGGATGGAAAGGTGTATGACATCACAGGTATACTTCTGTTCTCTAGAAATATGGGCTCATATATGCTCAAAACTTTGATGTTTTGGCTAATTATTTCTCATGCTTGTAGAGTGGGCTGGATGCCAGCGTGTGGGAATCTCCCCAGATACCCACAGAGTCCCCTATCACATCTCATTTGGTTCTCGGATTCCAGGCACCAGTGGGCGGCAGAGGTAGGTGTTACTTCTTCCAATAATCTACCCACTAGTGTAGTTCGGAATATGATTTCAGATGACATGCTGCTTAGGACACCTAGATGTCTTACCCGTAAGAAGTTTGGCAGCTGGCTCAGTAGATCTTTTTTTTTTTTTTCCAGTGTATCTTTAACTTAGGTATTAACAGGTAGCACAGGTAACCATATGACTCTTAATAGCTCTTGCCTTATAATGTCTTGTTTTCCTCTCAGAGCAACCCCAGATGCCCCTCCTGCTGACCTTCAGGATTTCTTGAGCCGGATCTTTCAAGTACCCCCAGGCCAGATGTCCAATGGGAACTTCTTTGCAGCTCCTCAGCCTGGCCCTGGGGCCACTGCAGCCTCTAAGCCCAACAGCACAGTACCCAAGGGAGAAGCCAAACCGAAGCGGCGGAAGAAAGTGAGGAGGCCCTTCCAACGTTGACACCCCTTCTCTTCTTTCCTCAGATCAATGTCAGGGAGTCAAAAGGGCTGTGTATAGCACAGGATGGAGTTTTGACTTGTTTATTTTTAAATATTTAAAAAAGGGAAAATTTTAAGCCCAAATTGTTCACTCAGTACTTGTAGGAAGCCCCGGAACCACTCTCCCTCCTCCACCAGCACCTAGGAACTGAATCTTGTCTTCTGACAATACCAAAGAAATAGGGGGTGGCTAGAGCAAAGAACCTAGAGCCCGGACCTGGGCTGGACAATATCTCCCATGGTAGTGTGTGAACTGGTATTTCCCTGGGGTCTGTATGCCTTTGTCTTTTGCTTCTAGAGCAGATGACACTTTCCCCCCCTCTTTTTAAACTATGAGTCTATCTTATAATTTCTTGACCCATTTCAGGAGGGAGCCCCCTCCTTTACCCCAACATACTAGTTAAAAGAGAACAAGAAAGCATGTAGCCCTAATTATAGGAGATTATACATAGAGTTCAGAGAGTGGGAACTTTAAATTTTTCCTCTGACATTCACCTTGTGGGTAATCACCCAACTTCATGCTTGTTGCTGCAGGGATGGCCAAAACTAATAATTTTTAAAAAAGCAGACTCATGCCCTCTGCCCTTGGGTGAGGGGGAAGGATAAAGGGGCTCCCAGAAGCCCCCTTATGATCCAAGGGTTTGTATTTTTTTAAGTTTGTTCATATTTGTATGTACATATCTATTTAAAGCCAGGGGATTATCTTTCTATAAATATATAACTGGCAACCTGTATCTTCCCTCTCTTCTTTGCCCTTTTTCTCACTTGAGAATTCTTTCCCTACTAAGTGTTAGGTGAGTGAAGGGCACCTCCTACTGGACCAAGGGAGAGGGGATAAAAAAATACCTTAGAGAAGTTTTATACAATAAGTTGCTATTCCTTGTTTCTTCCCCAACCTTATGAGGACATCTCCCTACCCTTCCTGCTGACCAAACTGAAGCCGTATCTGAAAAAAAAATTATCTTTATTATAAGGAAAATACACAGCAAAACAGAGCTGGAAGGTGGTGCAGGTGGAAGATCTGGGAAAACTTAATCACCAAACAAACTGCTCAAACATGGCTTCCTGCTGTGAGGGAGAGTGATTTGGCCCTTATCTTTTCCACCTTTCCTGATTCAAAGAAATTTGCTCTTAGCAGGGCTGGGCCCAGGGAGCCCCATTTTTCCAATCTGTTATCTTCCTGGGAGTTTGGGAAAGGTTATATAGTTCTCGGGCTTTCAAGACACAGAAGACAATATGGAGAAGGAAAGGATGTTATAGCCGTTTGGTCCAGTGTTATCCCCAGCACCATCCCTCAGTATTTGTTGATGCCAAAGAGACGAACCCCATGGAATTGGGGTAACTTAGGCAGCAGTACGCTGAGCAATGAGGCTGTGTTGATGAGGAAGTGAGCAGCATCATATTTGGTGTAGAAGCTGGCCAGGAGGTAGCTGGGGAGAGAAGAAATGGGTTAAGTGAAGTTGGCCTTCCCTATCCGTATTTATGACTTTGCAGTGACTTTCTCTTCTAGTTGAAATCACCGGTTTTATTGCATGTAGTCCTAAAATATCTGAAAATATTCCAGTTAAATTAACAGTATTTACTTTGGGGTTGGGGAGATAATCAGCACCTTTAGCTAGAGATTTATAAGAGTGTTTTTTAATTGTTAATGACGTGGCAAATGACAGCTGAAGTCTATATGACTGTTAGAGTCCCTTTGCTTCCATTCCCTACAGTTTTCACAGATTTATATCAGTTCTGCTTTATTTATTCACTTCCTTTGGAAGTGTAAAACTATTTGGTTTTGCTTGGGTGTTTTCTCAGTCCTTTCTCCATTCCCCTACCACCAAAGGGGCAGCAAGGAATGCTTGATTACTATCTTCTACTTTTTATTGCTCTCCCTAGATTTAGACCATGCCATAATATCTTCAAAGGGTCTAAGTGAGTAGTCTGCTTTTTTAAAGCTTCCCTGTGGGGGTTTTTCCTTGACACTTGCAGCATTTCCCATATCTCCCCCTGGACTCACAGTACGATAGGAGAGATGCTGAGGAATTTGCGGGAAGAGGTAAATTGGAGCCCGTAGTCCATCTGTTCCCAGTATGTCAGTAGCCGAGCCTTTCCTTGGTCAGGGGTCTCAAAGGGTGTCCCTTTCACCGTATGTAAGAAGACATACATAGCCTGGGAGGAGGGAAGGGGGCAGTGTGAGGAGGCAGAAAGTAGTCCTTCAGCCCAAGAATTATGCTGAGATCCCGAAAGGAAGACATAAATCCCCAAATAATCAGTGATTTTGTTTTTGCTTGGGAAAGGCCTGGGTTCGGTATAAGGGTGTGGTTTAGTGCTCACCAAGTTATGGATGACGTTGGTCAGGGTCCAGACAACAGGAATGCTGAAGAAGGGGATGCTGAGTAGAACCACATGCAGCAGTCCTACCAAGATGATGTAGGCCAGCCAGATGCCCCGGCTATTCATCACTCGAGTGTTGGGGTTTACTTCGCTGTGTGCCACCCCCACATTCATCCTACTGCCGTGGGGGATCAGGCAGGAATCCAACTCAATTTCCTCTCAACCTTTTTGAATTTGTTCCCCCAAGTTGTCTCCTGAATAGCCGAAATCCTCTGAACTCTATTGGGAATAAAAGAACTTCCCTGTTGTGCACAAAGGAAAAACTGAAGACTTAGGAAAGAAAACTTAAAAGGCAAGACGAGTCCTCTCTACTCTCAGAGACATTATTGGTAATCTTTACTCTGATCCTTACACTTCAACTGTAACCTGAAGGGGTAAGCCTAGTCTTGGGGCAGGGACTTACGGCAGCAGGGAAAACAAGGAACAATTAATAAGGGGAGAGGGGACAAAACTAATCCCCACCTCTTCCTATGGGGCTTGCCTGTCCTGTCTCTCATCCACTTGGCATGTAAGCAGGCCGCATCCCAATCTCTTTCTCAAGCGAAGGGCGCTGCCAAGTAGTTACCCAATGGCTTTTGGATTGAGCTAGGAAGGGACCTGAGCTTAGCATCTCGAGAGACGGAGCCCTATCCCCGATTCCAGGAGCGGCTCTGATCGTCTGAACTTGGCCCTTTAAAATCGTGCTTGTTGATGCCTACTTGGGAAGCAGATCTTGCTCGCCCGTCTTTACCTAAAATTCCCTAAACCCTAGTACTGAACCCGCCCCATGCTCCTCCCAGCTTCCCTCTCTCGTTTGTCGTTCATCGGCTATCCTCAGGGCTCTCTTCAGAGCTCCTCTCGGTATTTAACTATTTAACTTGCCGACGCTCTAACTCCCCCCGCCCTCCACCACTTTTCGCCTTGCACCACTTTTCCTCAGCCCCATTGCCAGTCTCCTGGCACCCCCTACCTGCTGGCTTCAGAAGCCGGTCCGACTCGAAGCGCGGCGTTCACTTCCACCCCTGTGGTCTCCAGGAAGCAGCCGTCCTCGCCCATCTGCGCTCTCCCTATTCGTGGAACAGAATCAGCGCTGCCGCCACCCATTGGTTGGCAGTTTGCAACGGGGACGCGCAATTGGTCGCCATTTCCGCCGTTCGGGAAGTTCGGAACCCGCCCCTCTCCCTGTCCCATCTTTTGAGAGAGGTGGGGAAAGCTGCCTGGAGGAGTGAGAGCGACGTCAGCTATTGACTAATGCGGGGAGTTGATAGTGTGAGGTGGGAGTAAGAGTGACAGCGATTGGTCGGCCGTGGTTATCTGCGCCTAGGCGGGAGCTCCTGGAAGCGGAGGCAGCGGGTGGGGGCCTAGTGGACTGGAGGGGTAACAAGATGGCGGCGGAGACGGTGGAGCTCCATAAACTGAAGGTACCGTGAGGCGGGGAAAGGCTGAGTTAGACTTTTCTGGGGACTGAATTCTGCCGGGTGGCTTGCGCCTTTTACTGCCTGTTCATCTTGCAGGCTTTTCCACTTCGTTTTCTGGCTCCCGCCGTAGTTCTTTTCTTTTGTGCCTCCCTTCTTCCCCACTACGCCTTCCCTAATTTCCCATTTCTCCGTACGGAGATATGGGATAACACAGTATCTGTTGTTATTTCGGCTCGTCATCGTTGTATCATCCGTCACTTCCCCACGGGGTGTGCAAGTGCTTTCAACCTGTTATACTCCCTTTTCATTTCTCGTCAGCACTGCATTACGTCAGTGGTCCCCTCCTCTTTGCCCCATGCTGAAGCCAGGACCCCTTTTTCTTTCCTGGGTCGGTGCTTTCCAGTCTGTTGTCCAAAGCTGGGATTCCCGTTATCAAATGATGGCAGCTTTGTGTATTTATATCTACCCGCGTTTCAAACAGGATCCAGAGAATGCTTCCACTTCTTTTATTTAGGTGGGGTTACGCCCTCGGAGCTAACTTTGGAAACCTGAGGAGAGGCCTCAGAAGCTAGGCCTCTTCTTAGAAGCCAGGGATTTCGGAGACCTTAAGGGTTAGTAAAGGCACAGATACCTCAGATTTAAAAGTTTTTCGAATTCTCTCACCCGGTTCTCGGCCCGCCTGCCTTACCCCCTACCACTAGAAAGACCACTCACTCGTAGCTGTAATATTTTGGAAGAGCTGTTCCGAGGTTAGGTTTATCTCTTCCCATTTCAATTCGTGGATGGACCCTGCATCTCTTGGTGTCACCACTGGGTGACACTCTCAATCACAGGGCTGTTTTAAGTTGTATCTTTCGGGAGTCTTGGTAGCTTCCTGACATTGAGATTATTAGTTTCCTAGAAGAAAAGAGTAGTTTATTTTAGCCTGAATTAAGAGAATATCTTGATTAGTTGTCCATTTGTGGTTTCACAAGTAGTTTTTCCCATCAGATGTTTTGGTCATGTTTTGATCACATCATCCTGGGAATCTTGGACAAACCAGGCTGATTTAGCCAAAGCTGAAAACTGATCCTTTAAAGCTTGATGAGCTTTAAAAAAGGAGTACAGAGAATGAGGGTAGGGCGGACACATGCTGGTTGACACCAGTTAGCCTTTCTGTGAAATTTGATTTCTCACCCCCATGGATTCTAAACTGTTCTAGTGGGTTTTCGTGTATCCTGGAGTTACTGTTTGTAGCACTGAAATCTGTAGATTATATCAGTGGTCTCCTAAGGCAACAAGTAAAAAAGATTGAGTAACCGCCTCTGTTATATGTCTACTTACTTAAATAAATTATGTTCTGCCATATTGTTATGTATGTTATAGAACATACAAAAAAATTTGTCATTTATTTATTTGACAGAGAGCCAGTGCGAGCAGGGGAAGGAGCAGAGGGAGAGGGATGAGCAGACTCCCAGCCGAACACAGAGCCTGATGCCAGGCTCAATCTTATAACCCTGAGATCATGACCTGAGCCGAAATCAAGAGTCAGACACTTAAACGACTGAGCCAGCCAGGCACCCTGAAAAGAAAGTTTTGAGTGAATGGAGATAAAAAGGAAATATGAATAAAAGATTTAGTATTTTCTTTTTATTAATTCCACTTTTCAAGTCCCTGGAGTAAGTCATTAGTCTTGTGACTTGCCTTTGTGGATTTTGTGTTGGTTTATGGAGTGATTCTTTCCATAAAATCTGTATTTGTCAGGTTTATATTAAATTTGATTTTGATAGGATAATGTCCTCTGACCCGATTTCAGGTATTATAGTCTGAGAGAGTATGAGGCCCTCCTGACAGCCTGAAAAGGATTCACTCTTTTTTTTTTTTTTTTTTTAAGGATTTATTTATTTTTAGAGAGATGGAGGGAGAGAGCATGTGCAGGGGGAGGAGCAGAGGGAGATGGAGTCTTAAGCAGACTC